CTAATCGATTATTAAATTAGTCGATTATTTTAATAATCGATTAGTCGTAGATTAATCGAGGCAGCCCTAGCTAGGGTTGGGCAAAATTGTATTATGTTTGTCAGAAAATTATTTTGGCCCAATGGAATTACTGTTATTAGTGACATTAGCCAATGCTGATGCAGAGCTAATGCTAAGCTAACACTAAACTTCTATTTTCAGACTAATATTAGCATATTGCTATCACCATTATTAGTGACTTGTAGAAGTAGATGTGGCGCTAATGCTAAGCTAACACTAAACGTCCATATTTTCAGATTAATTTTGGCATATTGCCATCTCCGTTATTAATGTCAATGTCAAATTTATTTGTATAGCACATTAAAACAACAAATGCTAACCAAAGTGCTTCACAGTTCAGTCAAGACATATCAAAAAACAAATAAATACAGAAACACAATACAATAAATGAAAAAGCTCTAACTGAACCGCCAACTTGGTCTTAATCAAAAGCCAAAGAAAATAAATGGGTCTTCAGCAAAGATTTAAAAGCCTCAACAGTCTCTGCTGACCGAATATTTGGAGCAGCTATTGCAAAAAGCCCGGTCACCTCTAGATTTATTACTGATGTGTAGAAGTAAATGTGGTGCTAATGCTAAGCTAACACTAAACCTCCATATTTTCAGATTCAGGCACAGTGCAGTTACTGTGATTAGTAACTTACACAAGTCAATGTGGAGTGGAACGCTTCCTTGAGTGAAAAGCATGCAAGTGCAACTGTCATCTAATAATTGTCATATTGTTACCAGATAAATGCTCAATTAACCGTGTTTTTTTTTTCTTTTTTTTTTGCAAATATTGCCCAATCCTACTGAGTGACGACACAAAATCACAAGAAAATACTTTGAATCATTTTAGGCTAAGCTTGGTGTGTTGGCATTGTGGTAAACCTCAGTCTTAAAATACGGTGACCGCATTAAACAAGTATATTAACCCTCTGGAGCCTCGTCACATGATGTATTTAAATCGCTCTAACCAGACAGATTTGTCTTCTGAGACTTTGTTTCAATTTGTGTCAAACGTTAAAAACTTCAAACTTAAAAGTCGTAACGGATCAATGTCCGGGTGTTCAGCATTTAGCTAAGGTTTCTGCTGAGATACATGTTAAGAACTCCCAGAAAAAAACAGCTCCTTAATTACAAAAGTTGTGTCCCAGTTGCTCACAAAGACCAGACTACTTTGAGAGAAATCCTGTTTTCCTACATTTTCCAACATGTTCAAAACTTGTGACATGAATGTAAGATGAGGAACKTCTGTCCTTTTAAAGTTACAGCTCATGTCAAACAAAACGTCTTAAAATAACTTCAATCCCAAAAAAGTCATGCAAACATTAAACTTTTAAAAACACAAATTACTGGCAGATTATTCAGACAGGAAGCGTTACAGCACAGGGATTTTTTAGCTAAAATGATAAATTCTAAAGTTTCATGAAAAGGTTTTGCATGAACCAAAGTTTGTTTATTTTGAGGTTGCAGGTTTTTAAGACAGCAGTAAAACAAGTTGATGCCAGTTTTCTCAGACTTGGACTGTCTTCAAACTGAGGTTCTTAGATTTTAATCGTTCACAAAGGTTAAAACTGTCTGAAAGACCTCATTTTGCAGTTTCAGAACATTTTGATTGAATTGTAACCTTTGGTTTTAAGTTTAAATACCATGAACTGAACATAAAACATTTTAAATATGAACTTTCTGAAATTAGGCAAATCAAAAAGCTCTGCTCTCATTTAACCTGAGAGCCTGAAAACCCAAGAAACCATGAAGCCTCCCCAAGTTCGCAAAAGATCAGAGCCAAGATTTTGATGTGAAGACAAGGCACCGGTGGGAAAAAATAATAAATCTCAGCCCAGTTCTGTTAGTGATAAATTCCAGACAGCTCCTCCAGTTCAAGCAGAAAAATGCTGAGAATACATTTGAACTAATGCAACAAATTAAGTTTTGGAAACAGTCCACGGATTATAAACTGCTACAATCAGCCGGCGGGCCTCATTCTCTTTCATAATGTGAGCCGAGTCCCACAGAGGGGACTGGCAGGAGTTGGGTTTCTCGGTATGTGCGGGAGTGGACGTTTGACCTTGAGCTTCAGATGCTTTCTCACTTAAAAATGGAGATATGTAATGTTTAGTTTAGGTGAAAATTAGTGAATCAAAGGACAAATATTTAAAAGAAAAAGCTCTAAGAAAAAGGACTAAAATTAAATAGTGTGGCGACTGGTTTACTTTCATCATGTTTTCTTTGAGATTCTTTGCATGCAGGGAGTGAAAATTTCAAAACACTTCTGAATTTAAATAAAAATCACAAAAGCAACGTGTTAAATTGCACAATCTAAACTTTTTATTTTGAAAGTCCTTGTTAGTACAACAGAAACTGGGAAACAAAGTCTCAGACTACTGATTTATCTGCATGTGGAGTCATAAAAAAGCCAGTATCTTGATAAAAAATTTTTAAAAAGTTTCTACACACATGATACAAGATACAGCATATTGGTGCCAAAAAAAAAAAAAACCTCACAAGCACCCCTCGTGTTGTTAGGTTGCAGCGAACCGACCCAAACGAAGCTGACAGAGCAGTGCAGCGTGGATGAGCTCCTGGAGGCTGAGATTACCAAACGTACATCCTGTTTGTGCACGTTTAGGGTTTTTTTTATTCTTTACATATTTTAATTTATGAAGCAGCAGACACCAGTAACAGATAAATACTTTATAAAAACTGAAGGAACGAATTTGGTAAATGATGAGACTTGAAATGCTCTTTATTAGCTTTAAATATTTGTAACTATTTGTAGGCTTAAAAATACTTTAAAGAGCTTGAAGAAACTAAAGAGTTGGTGACAGTTATAATACTAACAGCTAAWTAAATCTGGTTTGTCTCTAAATGAAATAGTTTGTTCATTTAGCAAAGATTCAGAACTAAAATGAATAAATTGTATTTATGAACTTCAAACCCAGAACTTAACATTAACATTATGTTTACTGCCAACAACTTCAAAATAAAATAACTTTCTGCACAGGTTTCGTTTCTTGTTGCATTAAAAAAAATATATGAAATGATTATGTCCTGTTTGACTCACTAATACAGACGATCACGTCAGGTCCACCTCCAGATCCTGTTTTATTGTTTTTCTGTCAGAAGTGAACCTCACGTTACTCTAACAGCTGCAGAGTTTTACTTTTCATGAGGAGTTTTAATGAAAATATTTTATTCTTTGAGACAGGTGAACCAGACTACTCAGATTTTAGTTTTTGAACAAACCGTTCTGTTCCTGATGATGAAGAGGTTAAAACTCGAGCTCATCCGGTCAGGATTGCCGTTTCTTGTTTCACGCAGATAGAATTCATTAGTGCTACAAACCCACCGCCTCGGTCTAAAACAGTCCGGTAAATGTTTGGTTTGGGGACAGACAATGAAGTGGGATGCGGTGCATGCAGGTGACGTGTTCTCCCTCGGCCTCTGAGGTTAAGACGCCTGGAGGACAGCTCACCTGAAGGCCCGCCCTCTGCCTCTGGGTGGCGTGTAGCCGCTGTAGTAGCGCGCTCGYGAGGAGAAGCTTCCTCCCCGTGATCGGAACCGACCCCGTGGAAAMCCGCGGTCTGTGGTGCTGATGCCAGGTCTGTTTGTTCTCTTAGCTCCCACCTGAGGACAGGAGACGGGTCTGTGAAGGAAACTCTGCGACCACCTCCGTCATCTGAGCTCCATTCAAAGACGTCTCACCTTAATCTGTCTTCCCCTGAACAGAGACTCATCCAAAGCCATGGCCGTTCGAACCGACTCTTTGTCTGCAAACTCAATATAAGCAAACCTGCAGAGAAAGAAGAAAAATGTGTTTTACAGACAAAAAAAAATGTACAGGGTTTTTATAGTTTATTTTTAAACATTATTTATTAAATAAAAGTWTCAAGTGTTTGTTACCCTTTGGGATGCCCCGTGTATTTGTCGCACAAGATGGTGACTCTGTTTACTGAACCGCAGCCGTGAAAGTGAGCCTCCAGCTCCTCGGCCGTGGCGCCGTAGTCCACCTGATGAAAAAGAAAACTTTATTTATAAAACAACTTTCATAAAACAAAAATTTATTTCCTGATGAATTCACTGATMGTTTGAGTTTTAGTAAATTATTCAACTGTTCAGAACAGCCTGTCTTTTCTGTAATAAACCACCAGATTGAAAGAAAAACTGAAACAAACTGAACTTTGGATTCATTGATCAGTAAGTCAGGAAACCTAAAATAAAAGGATTTTACATCTTTTAAAAAATAAAAAATATTAACCAATAATAGTGTTTTCTCACTATATTATTTGTGTTTGCACTAAATAAGAGCAAACATTTCTAAACTAAATAAACCAGCTGTGTGATWAGGAGTTACTCACATTGCCGACATAAATAGATCTGCCATCTGCCTCCATCTTCTCCTCGATGGACATGATGACCGGACCGACTACAACAACACAACACACCAGGAACTTTATTTGATAAAATATTTACTTTAAAAAATACTTCATTTGATGTGCTCAGCTTTACTTTCTGAGACACCAAATGATTTTGGAGTAAATTTAGTATGGAGTTATAAAAACACGTTTCTCTACATTCAATAAAACATTTAAAAACAATCTGAACATTTTAAAATCCTCCATCTTAAGAAGACATAATTTCAGATTCACAGCACAGATGACTCAACGTTTGAGAATAAAAACATAAAGCACACAGAATAATGTTAACAGTGAACTCTAATGGATCTTCGAAGAAGGTTTGACGCTGAAGCTCTGAACATGTGACACAATGTTTGACTTTAAATACGAGGGAAGGTTGGGGCGCGGTGCRGGAGGACGGTGTCTGGTCCAGCTGCAGTAAAGTGAAGACGTATGAAAGCTGCTGYTCAGGACAGGAACATGACTTTAATCCCTGTAGTCTGTACTATATGTGCACCAGATATTCCATCATCTCTGGTGAATTTACTGTTGGCTGAAAGCCTCTACATCCTGGGTCTGGATTGTGACCCAGGTATGGTCCACACCTCTGACCCAGAGGCTCGGTTCTGTTCCTCTGTAGGACCTCAGAGCTCTGTTAGCCACGATGGGTGACGCTGGAGAAACCATCGCTCCTGTAATGATGGTCTTCACTCTAAATGACTTTGTGGCACGCTAGGGAAAGTAACGAGTGTCTAAAATAAAATAAGTTGAAACAGTAATTTGATCTCATTTTAGCTTAGTTATATCACATCTTGTTCTGCTCTGTCCTCCGTAATTTAACAATATGTGACCCATCACATTGAAATGAGGATTAAGTCAAATTTGGTCAAAATGACCTCATTACATTTTCAGATACATTTTGATTCGTGGCTCACATTCTGATATAAGTAAATTCATATATATATATATATATATATGGCTTAATTTGTCTTGTTGGTTATAATAATAATCCATAAATATTTGGTCTGAATCCTAGTTTTATGTCATTTTAATGAGGTATTTTTGATGTCCTTATAAAGAGGAAACCTCAAACTATATTTGAATATTCAGATTTTCCAGCTGAAAACAAACAAAACTTTGCTAGCTCGCATGGAATATCTCAATTTTAATGCATTTTTCCTCAAAATCAGTTTTTTTGTTGCTACTGCTCAAAATAAGTGCTCAAAATTTTGTTTTATGATTATATTTCATCGAGTTCATTCAAATGATACACTGATAAAGCATTTATTCATTATGTTTTGACAAAACGCATTTTTTGCAAACGTTTTAAACAAAACCATTTCACACTTTTAGACTTRATCCTTGTTTCGATGTGATGGATCACATCTATAAAAACGTGATTTGTTCTTTGGTTTTCCATTAAAAAACAAACTAACTAATAACCTGATGTTTTTTTAGTTTTAAAACTAAATTAGAAAACCATTACAAAAATAAAGAGTGCTACTTTTTCATTTTAATGGTTAAAGCAAAGTCAGGTTTTACATTTTTTAATACTATTAGTTATTTTCTAGTGGAACCAGAAAGACTTATGTTTTCACTTCTCACCATAGATATGTTTCTTTGTAATAGTTCCAGGTTTTAAAAGGAAACCTGACTAATTGTAACATTAAATGTTATATATAATAAACATTTACTGTAAAACAGAGACTAACTTGGTTATAAATGCAAGTTAAGCCATGATGCAGACCTGGTGGGGGGCTGAGATTCATCTGTTTCTCCACCTCGTTCTGTAGCTCCTTTAACTTTTCTGCCTCTTCCTCCATTTCTCGGACCCGGGCTTTAATTGCCTCCAGCTCCTGCAAAAACATACATTTATATATTTCAGTAAAATCTGTTCATCAGCTGTGTTGGACAACAAGCAATTCATATATTTAGTTTTTTATTTAAAACTGTGCAAATGAATGAGATAATAAACAGACTATATACACGTCTTTTTTATGAATTAACAGTTTGCTAGCCCTTTCAAATTATTAGCTTTCAAGCTGTGAGGTTGATTAATTTGAAAATGACACAAGTGTAATTGTTTTAGATTAAAATGAGACCAGATTAGCCTGTTTGGACTGCRTAGAGAAGCCAGCCAAACGTTTCCAGCAGGTTTTATAAAGGAGAGCTGAGGTGTGACGGATTATTTTTTTAAATGTATTGAACAGTGGCCCGGCTGTGCACTGAATCCGAGCTTCACTGGTGCACTGCAGCACAGTAGGAGCCAGTCAGACTGGGAGTTATGGCCCATGCTGAAAGGGTTTGTTGTGTCAAATTGGACCAATTTAAAAATCGGAGGTTCTCGTCGCAGGAAGGGGGATAAAATGGGTTATAGGCCACGCATGAAAACACATTTATATATGTCCAGAGGTGCTAATAAACAGGACTGCTGTGTCAAGGTGAGACGTGACATTCAAAGCAGGATTGTCCTTATTTTTGTCGCAGATTCAGACCAAGGTCCTCCGCTCCCCTCCCCGTCTCCTCCTCAATCCAGCAAAAAACCGTGAAGGATGCAAACCCAGCCCTTTAAATACCGCAACCCCCCCCCCTTTTTTTTCATCCCTGCGTTACAAGCTTCCACCACCTAAAAACCCGCAAACCACACCTGTGCACTCGGTTTAAACATCACCTGGGAGCAAAAAAGGAAAGAGAAAAACTGCAAAGCATAAATTAAACCGCATAACGAACAAAAAGGTGGTCAGGTACATGGATGCGTTAGCCACTCCACACCCACCTGTAATAATAATAATAAGATTACATCATCCCAAACTAAATATGCTTTTATGTATAATAGCAATTAGCTCTGCAACGCTGCAGTTTTTTTTTTTAATCTGGCGCTACGTTTCCCGCTGGTCATCTTTAGCTGCAGCACTTGATGCTAACTGTTAGCCCCGCAGCCGCTTTGCTAGCTCATCATGAGCTCGCGCGAGCCAGATGAATGAAAGAGAACAAAAGATCGTTGTTGCATGTTTTTACCGTTAGCAGCTCGCCTTCTTTAACGGAGTAGGCTTCCACGACGACGGCGGCGGCTAATGGCGGCGGCCCGTCCAGAGCTCGCCCTAACTGTCTCCCGCATCTCCGTCTCGCATTTTTTTTTCTTCTTCTCCTTTCAACGAGGATCTCCCCCCTCCCCACCCCCACACCACCCCGCTCGTACAGCTCTCTGGCGCAGAGAAACTGGCGTCGCTGTTGCGCCAAGATGGCGGCCGAAACCGCGCGTGTCGCCACCCAAATCTGCTGCACTGCGTGCGCCACAATGGCGTCTATTACCGAAGCGGCGGTAGCAGAAACGCATGTGACCCACGATTTAATGGAGTTTAAAAAAAGCACACCGTTTGTCTGATTTAGCTTACAATAGTTACAGTTGGAACCAAGATTTAACAGCAACGGTAGGTTCCCTGTAATAATACCCCATCACTTACCGGGTCTTCAATTGCGGCCTCTCCCTCTTCTAACCCCGGYTCTTCGTCTCCAACACCCGGGTCTTCTAAATCGGGATGTCCGTGGTCCGAATCTAGTAGRGATTCATCCGCCAGTCCGTTACCGAACTCCGCCATCGCTCTGATCCAATAGTACCGACGAACCTCGTGGCTAAACCGACGTCGCAGGCCCCTACTCACTCACACACAAGGGGGGCGGCGAAAAAAAAACGGCGGAAAACGCCGCTCACTCTGTAAAGTTAAAATGGAGTATAAAATGCTAGCTTCAGATTTAGCCTCAACTCAAACAGAACAAAACGATGGATACGTGTTGTTTCACTCACAACTTTTAAAAAAATACCCTAGTAAACGATTCACAAACCGAGTTTATTTACTTAAACGTGTATATTATAAAAAAAAAGACGATGAATGTACGCGAGATCCKCGGCGTTGCTTCAGTTCAGAAATGGAAGCCAGGGGGCGGAGTCAAGTAGCACTGCGGGCGTAAAACTCTCAAACCCATTGGTCGTCGCGCGATTTACGACCGCCCTCTTTGGCTTTTGCGGCGTTCCTATTGGGCAAGCGAGAAGAATGTTCCGGTTCGTGAATTGCAACGTGTGCATTTGTTGGATGACGTTCCCGTCAATCATCTCACAGTCTGACCCACGTAAACTGACAGAGAATACAATGGCATTAAAGCTGCCTCTACCAGTATGACCTTAACTCTAAGGTCACGTTAACACGTCTTTTATTCAAAATATAATATTACAAAAGGTGAAACATTATATAATGAGTTATTTTAATTTATAAGCCCTAAAACTGAAAGACTTTAAAACAATGTCTTAAAAAGATATATTTTTTTAGATACTGTTTTAGAATTTTTATTTTTAAAAAGCCCACAGACCATTTCAAGTTAAGATTCAAACAGTTTTTTACAAAAGTAAAATATTTCCTTCCAAACTTTACAACATTGTCATGACCCCAGATTTACTAACCAGTCAGTCAGAACTTATTTGTTGTTCAACTGGTTTTTATTTCTTTTTCTGTATATCAAAGAAAGCATTAATGGAGACCAAACACAAAGGCGGGTACAAGTGAGGAGAGGAAGTTGGGGGGAAAAATAAAAAAAAATCAAACAAAACAAAAAGCTTAATCATAAATCTAACAATTCGTAACAACACTGCCACTATTATTGTTCAATATTCAGAGGAATACCATGCTCTTTTCAGAGCACAGAGGTGGCATTTTAAACCAATAATATTAATCAAAAAACAGTGATGAGTATTAATAAATCGTATAAGTAGTTGTACAGTTATAATAGTGATAATCAAAGTGACAATGAAACAAACAGGAATAAAAAGCAGATCTCCATAAAAACATGTCTAGTTTGGACAGTGCAACACCGTGTCTGTGTGTGTGTGTGTGTTTGTGTGTGTGTGTAGTAATCCCAGACATGAGCGCATTAGTCCTCGCTTTACACAAAAGCTGCACTTCCCATCTCAACAAAAGACCCGAATCCAAAGCAAAACTCGGGGCGACGGCAGCGTCTGTAGCTCGTGCAAAGAAAAAGTCGGGGACTAGTGCGAGGGTCAAAGTCGTGGGACGTCATTTACAGTTTGCATTATCGCCTCTCCTGCTCTCTGTCGACCTAAAGATTGCTTTTTGGTATTTTTTTTTTAATGACAGAAAGCAAAGGGAGGATTACTTTGGAATATCAGTTATTCTTTTTATATAATTCTTTACAAAAGTTTATGTTTTTAGATTTGCATTTTATTAAAACTATTAATAGTATTATTAATATACAACTTAAACCGAAGGAAAACATCTTTAGTTTGTTATGTGTCCTTCAACACAGCACCATCTTATTAGCTCTCTTTTTTTATTTTTCCCTAAAATTTACTTCCAAGATTCGAGTAGTCTCTAGTGGAGTCACTGGTAACTTTCTCCCTCGTCGTGATTTTTTTTAGGATCTCGTTTCACAGCACGTGCACGACCGGAATCGCTTCGACGAAAAATTAAAAATGAGGGGGAACGAAAAGTCATTTTAGAATCTGCTTTCAACCCAAATAAAACCCGTTAAGCCAGACGGGTGTGGTTCAAATATAAACACTCGCGTAAATAAAACAATTGGTTTGACCTTCAGTGCTAAAATGGATTTAATTTACAAATGTGTCGAGGAGTTCCTTCCTCTTAAGGCCGTCTTATTTTATGACAAACCGACGGGACGGGGGAGCTGGAAAATAATTCATCCGAAGAGCCACATTCCTGAACGAGACGTACATTTGAGGAGAAATTTAAAGTAAAATCAAAATAGTTTAGAGTCCTTGGCCGAAGAGAATGCTGGCGATTTTTACAGGCAGGATTTTTTTTAAGTTATAAAGACATTCAGAGAAAATACCCCGTAAATGTATGCAATCTAGGAAAAAAAAAAAAAGCTCTTCGTTTACACACCCAGGTCAGAAAAATTTGTATAGTTGCTCACGCCTAAAGCACTCAGATTTAATTAATGTCATTCATATTAAGGCATCCAACATGCATGAGCGCATCTTTTCATAAAAAGACACCTGCATAAGAATGCTTAAAAACATCTTAAACAATGTAAAATGTCAAAGTGCGGTATGCCAAAAATTCTACTTTACTAAAACCCTTTTAGCGCAAGATTTTTTTTCTTTTTGGATTGTCATGAAACCAAGTAAATGTGGACAATTCATCAGCCCTAATCTCTCTATAGTACCTCTTTTATATCCCAAAATGAAAAGACACTCTTCAGATCACACACTTCTGCAGCAAACCCAACACAGAAGTATTAAAAAAACAAAATCTAACAGCTAATACAGGCTCTTCCTCTCCCTATATTCAGTCCAGTTATTATAATTCAAGCAATGTTTGCCCTAGAAATGAAAAGTAGGCGTGAGGAAAAACAATTCCACAGGGAAAACGGGTTATTTATGAGTAATTCATGGTAATATCCCAAAAACAAAACAAAAAAATAAAATGTTTCCAGGTAAAAACTGCCCCCCGAAACAGGAAACGCTTGCATCAGTCTTCAGCTCAAACACAGCAAGTTGTACAAATGAAAGGAAGTCCGGTTCTTACGGGTCAGGGTCAGGACTGGAAACGTTTGGATAAAATCTTTCAAAGAGTCCGCTCGTCTTCTGCATTCCAGGTGAAATCTCTAGATTAACAGGTGTGGAGCCAGGTGAGGGCGGAGCCAAAGATTATTACCTTTTAGAGGGTTAGTGCTCAAATGTGTTCGTTAAAATCGGAGGAGCCCAAACGGGTTCGACAAGCGTCAGTGTGCGGACCGGTCCTGACCCGGGTCTAGCTGTTGCTGGTGGCCGTGGAGGGAGGCGGCTCGACGACGACGTCCCCCTCCGCGGCAGCGGGGAGCGGCGCCTGCGAGACGCTCTTGTTGGTGAGGGAAATGGGCTGGCCAAAGTTAGTGGTTCTCAGGGTGGCCAGGTGGCGGGGGGAGAAGACGTGGGCCCTGGCTGCGGCCCGCGACTCGAACGACACGTTGCAGGCGTCGCAGTGGCCCGTCAGGGTCTCCTTCTGCGCCGGCTGGCCCGGCGCCGCCGAGGCCGGGGGCTCGGCGATGGTCAGCTGAACGGGCTTGGGCAGGATGGGCCGGTTGGCTTTCAGMGCGCTGTACTGCAGGTAGCTTCCTGAGCTGGTGTCCACCTTCCCCCCCAACAGAGGAGACTGCAGGGAGGAGACACACAAAGATAAACCACATTCAGAGTTTTCACTCACTGTTCATGTAATAACTCAAAAACATCACAGAAAAACAGAGAAAAAACAGGATATAAAATATCTACGCAGCACTGACGCAAACTAAACTCAACGTTTCTGCCTCCTACAGACTCCAACTTCACAACAAAATACATTTAATGTTTAAAAATGTGYATTTTGCATCACGTGTCCCCTTTAAATGTTAAACTGTCGACGCCAGTTAAATACGAGCTAAAATTTACTTAAAGAAAATAAAAGTGGGAAGCAGCAAAACAAAAGTAAATGTGTAAAAAAGCATTGGCTGAAGAATAATTGTAGATGAAAGGAGAAAAAAGGTTTACTGAGCAACGAAAAGCTGAACAGAACTCAGAWATTACAAAAAGATAGAAAACAAACATGTAAATTGGGGGAATCACACCTAAAACTTTTAATCATCAGTATAAGAGCTGTAGGTATCAGACAAATAGTTTAACTGTAGAAATAATCAAAATTTTGGTTAAAAATAAGATTTTAAAGTTTAAAATCTCAGTACAGAACCTAAACTGATCTGAACAAACTGAATGAAGATTTTAAATGTGTTAAAAATACAAACCTCGTAGTTAAAAGAGACTAAAGTATTCACCTCACTGCTACACGGTGTCAAAAAATATTATTCTAATACAAACGTGTCAAACTCAAGACCCGCGGGCAAAATCTGGCCCTCGTTAACACTTTATCCAGACCCAAAAGATAACACTTTAAATATGAAACAATTTTATGGTTTCTCTTTTTGTCACGTTCTGCTCATGGCAGCTGGACAACTTKCAAATCAAGAAAATTAAGTTTGAATTTTTCATTTYGAGTAGAAAGCGCAACTTTAGCCTCTTCAGTACCGAGGGGTGTCCTTTAGGTTTGTGCTTGAAATAACGTGAATTTATTAACTTAACTTAAATAAATAATGTTGGGATCAAAATAAAGCTCAGATCAGAATCACAGCTGCTGTTTCAGAGACAGTGAGGATGGAGCAGAAATATTTTTTTCTTGCATTAAACAGTGTATAACCTTTTTAAAGTATCAGGCTAAAAACTCTTGGAAACCATAAATCCACACGTGGACACTGCCTGTGCAAAGATTCATGCTGCTAGAATATATTAAAGCAAAATTAAAAAAGAAATAAATCAGTTTTATAATTCTACATGGGTTGGACCATGTTGGTTCCATCAATAAATGTTAAGAAATCAGGTTTTTAATTAAAAAAAAACGTTTTTTTTT